TAATTTGTGGCATGATATTTCCTTACAATAATTTTTATTTCTCTAAAATTAGTAGTAATTTCTCCTTTTTCATTCCTAATTTTAGTAATATGAATCTTCTCTCTCCCTTTTATCAATATAGCTAAAGGTTTGTCAATATATTGGCAGCCATGTTTTGGTTTATTGATTATCTGTTTTTCTATTCTCTATTTCATTTATTTGCTCTTGTTTTTATTATATACTATCTTCTGCTTATTTTGGGTTGAGTTTGTTCTCCTTTTCTAGTGTCTTATGTTACATTATAGGTTTTTTTCTTCTTTTTTAATATATGAATTTATAGCTATAAATTTCCTGCTAAATACTGCTTTGGTTGGATCCCATAAGTTAGGTATGTTGTGTTTCTGTTTTCATTCTTGTCAATGTATTTTCTACTTTTCTTTGTGATTCCTTCTTTGGCTCACTGAGTATTTAGGAGTATGTTATTTAATTTCTACATATTTGTCTATTTCTAAATATTTTTTATTATTTTCTAATTTCATTACATTATATTCAGAGAACATACTTCAAATGATTTAGATCCTTTTAAATTTGTTTAGTTTTATGTCGTAGTTTTATGTCGTACATATGGTGTATCCTAGATAATGTTCCATGTACTCTTAAGAATGTGTATGCTGCTGCAGTTGGATACATTGTTCTATAGATGTGCTAGGTCTAGCAGGTTTATATTATGTTCAAGTTCTCTGTTTCCTAGTTGATCTTCTGCTTACTTGTTCTATCATCGAAAGTGAATTATTGGGGCACCTGTGTGGCTCAGTCGGTTGTATCTGCCTTTGGCTCAGGTCATGATCTCACGGTCCTGTGATCCAGCCCCACAGCAGGCTCTGTGCTCAGCAAGGAGTCCGCTTCTGCCTCTCCCCATTCCCCAACCCCCCCCCCACTTGTGCTCTCTCGCTCTCTCTCTCTCAAATAAATAAAATCTCTTTCTAAAAAGTGGGTTAAGGTTTATTATGATTAAGTTGTCTATTTCTCTAATTATTTTTTTTAAGATTTTATTTATTTATTCATGAGAGACACAGAGAGAGGCAGAGACATAGGCAGAGAGAGAAGCAGGCTCCATGCAGGGAGCCCGATATGGGACTCGATCCCGGGACTCCAGGATCACACCCTGGGCCGAAGGCAGACGTTCAGCCCCTGAGCCACCCAGGCATCCCTATTTCTCCAATTCTATTCGGGTTTTTTATTCATGAATTTTTAGACAGTCTTGTTACATGAATGTATAATTGTTATGTCTTCCTGATAGAATCACTCTTTTATCATTATAAAATGTCTCAATCCCTAGTGATTTTTTGGGTGATGTTTACATGGTATATATTTTTCAGTCATTCTACTTAAAACTCTATATCTTTAAATCTAAAATCTGTCTCCTATTTATAGTAGATAGTTGGATCTTTTTTAAAATCCAGTCTCAGGGATGCCTGGGTGGCTCAGCGGTTGGGCACCTGCCTTCCACTCAGGTTGTGATCCCAGGATCCGGGATCAATTCCCACATCGGGCTCCCTGCAAGGAGCCTGCTTCTCCCTCTGCCTATGTCTCTGCCCCTCTCTCTGTGTGTGTCTCTCGTGAATAAATAAATAAATCTTAAAAAAAAAAAAACCAGTCTCAAAATGTGTGCTTTTTGAATAGCGTAGCTAATTCACAGTTTTATTGTTATCAATATGACTGGTTTTACAACTGTCATTTTACTTTTTGCTTTTCCTATGATTCATATTATTTTCTCATTCCTTTCCTCTTTATTGCCTTCATTTGTAAGTGAATATTTTTTAGTGTAGTATTTCAATTACATTAATAATTGTTCACTATTTTTAAAATTTATTTTCTTGGTTACACTAGGACTTTCAGTATATATCTTAACTGCTCAGATCTACTTCAAATTTACACCAACTTAAGGACAGTGAGATAGGGAAATGTTACTCCACGTAGTTCTATCCTCTTCTGCCTTTTTCTATGTTTGCTCATCAGCAAAATCTGCTTTTTTTTTTTTACAGCATCCATAAACCAACTTTTCCAGTCTCTTTTCCAAAAATAGCCCCTTTAGGGAGAGCTACTGAACTCTCTGTTTGTATGGCCTGACTCTTCCTAATTGAAGCTCTCAGTACTGCTCCAGAGATGGCGGCAGAAACCTTCACTCTTGCAGTATCACCCCTTATAAGCAAGACGCTGGACTGGAGGGCAGGAAGGGGAGGGGCATCTCTAGTCTTCTTGTTTTGTCCCTTCCAGCATAGGACCTCAGCCCCACATGGAAGCTGGAGTGAAGTTTACTGGAGTCCAGTATTCTCAGCTTGCTGTGCCTGGGAATGGGAGCTAGGTGGATGGAGGGAGCCTCAAATGTCCCTTGCCAGGAACAGAGCTTCTGCAACCCAGAACTGGGAAGGACAAGTAATGCTGGTGTCCAAACTCTCCTGGGGAGAAATCATAGTCATAAACTGGGATATGGATTTTTTTTTGTGGTAATACAGCCTAAGCAGTCTAATCAGAACTGATGCTGGCAAGCAGGAGTGGATATATCATTAATAAGGCACAGTGAAGAATAAATTATGGGACTCCTTCTTCAAAATTCATTAAGCAATTGAAGTTGGTGACAGTATATCACTAAATAATCATGTTTGAGGCCCTTCCAAGCCCCCAAGCATAGGGACCCATGTAATTGCACAGGTCATATACTCATGAAGCCACGTTCACTCATTTTTACCCTAGAGTAGGATCTTGGGGAACTCCTGCTATGAAAGGTGTCATTTAAAGGTTATTAAAAGGGATGCCTGGGTGGCTCAGTGGATGAGCATCTGCCTTTGGCTCAGGGCATGATCCTGGGGTCCGGGATGGAGTCCCACATCAGGCTCCTTGCGGGGAGCCTGCTTCTTCCTCTCCCATCTCTACCTCTTTCTCTGTGTCTCTCATGAATAAATAATCTTTTAAAAACAATAAAGGTGATTAAAGGTGTTTCTGGGAGGTCCTAGGGGAGAGGCTTCTAAGTGAAGGCACAGGGCAGCCCTAGGTGGCAGAAGTCAGATGGAAGAGGGGGGGAATGTGATTTAGGATATTGTCTGTATACCAAGCACCAGGGAAATATTTGATATCTTATAATCTATCATAATGCAAAAAAAAAAGACTTTAAAAATTCAATTTCAGAAAATTTGGACTCACATTATTGAAAGATTAATAAACCTACACAGCTAGCAGACCAGGAGTTCCAGGGGTCCTTCTGCAAGACCTTTTGTCCTTTTGTCTAGATTTGTTGTCACTTTGTTGTCATATCCAGTTTATTAGGGCAATTCTGGTAGGGACTCCTAGGTTTATGGGAGGAATTCCAGAAATCTTTTGATTGGTATAGCTTATTATGCATGTTCTGAAGAGGGGAATTAAAATACTAGTTTCCCTAGACCCACTCATGTGGTTGATTGCCATTTATTTCCTTGTCTAGCCTTGACCTTTTTCCTCCACATTCCTCCTTCCTCCCCAACACCTCTTAACATATCAAAAACATCTTTAGCAAGCTGGTTTGAGAGTAATTTGCTAATTATATTATATATTACCATGGGATTTTTAATTTTTAACAAAGATAGATCTACTTAGGGAAGTGGTGCATTACAAGTGACAGTAGAGGATGGTATTCTGGTCTACACCTCAGTTTTAGCTCTTTCCCCCTTTTAAATGATCACTACCAATAATAGTCAAAGCTGTGGTTACCCTGCTCATGCACTTATCTCTCCATTATATTATTTTAATCCTTTTCATTCTAAAATGCTCCTATATGTCAGTGCTTTTCAAACTGAGTATGTAGATTAATCACCAGAGATGTTCTTAAAATACAGATTGCTAATTGAGTAGATTTGGGAGAGGTCTGAGATTTTGCATTTCTAATAAACTCCCAGGAAATCCCTACTCTATTGGTCTGTGGACCACAGAGAAGAAACACCCTGTATAATATTAAACAGAAATTGGGGTCGTTTTTTTTTAATATTTTATTTATTTATTCATTCATGAGAAACAGAGAGAGAGAGAGAGAGAGGCAGAGACACAGAGAGAGGGAGAAGCAGGCTCCATGCAAGGAGCCTGACATGAGACTCGATCCCAGGTCTCCAGGACCAGGCCCTGGACTGAAGGCAGCACTAAACCGCTGAGCCACCTGGGCTGCCCCAGAAATTGGTTTAAACTAAAACCAGGCTCTTGATTGTAATCTAGAAGTCATTATTCCCGAAGTTTTATTTTTATTTTTTTTTTTAAGATTTTATTTATTTATTCATGAAAGACACAGAGAGAGGGGCAGAGACACAGGCAGAGGGAGAAGCAGGCTCCATGCAGGGAGCCTGACGCAGGATCACATCCCGGGCTGAAGGCGGCACTAAACCACTGAGCACCGGGCTGCCCCTATTCCCAAAGTTTTAAAGCAACTCTCTATACTTAGTATGTCACATTCTCTCCAGGAGTCAATAGTCAATTAGTCTGAAAGGTGGATGTACTTTTAAAAGGCTTCTTAGCAATTTCAAAGTCTTCTGCCTTTTGGTCCCTGAACTTAAAAAAAAAACAAAAACAAAAACAAAAAAAAATCACATCATCAGAAAGTAGGAGATGCTGCCTGCCAACTAGTATAGGAGTAAAAACTCCCAAGCTTTTACTGCTTATTTGTGACATCTGAATTTTTCAAATATGATTTCTTTAGTCATTTCATTATTTTCAGCCTTCTACGCATTGTATTTCTTCCATCTTTTTCATGAAATGTAAAGCACATTTAGACTATGAATGTGTCGAAAACTTCTTGCTTCTTATTAATCCTCTCTTCAGGTTACTTTTAAAGCCAAACAACTGGGCAGCCCAGGTGGCTCAGTGGTTTAGCGCCACCTTCAGCCCCGGGCGTGATCTGGAGACCTGGGATCCAGTCCCACATAGGGTTCCCTGCATGGGGCCTGCTCCCCCTCTGCCTGTGTCTCTGCCTCTCTCTCTCTCTGTGTGTCTCTCATGAATAAATAAATAAAATCTTTAATAAAAATAAAAATAAAGCCAAACAACTTTACTTATGGTGAATACATTCATCCCAAGTACAGTTTAAAAAAAAATTAGAATCTCATCTTCTAAGATTCAACAATATTTCTGGCTTAGTGCAAGTTATAAAATCACATTGTTCTATTAATACATCAGTGAATAGAACCAAACCCAACCCTTGACGTCTCTTCGTGTAGCACTCTGACCATGTGTTTATGAAGAAAAAATCCTATTAATAGGATCCAGAAAATGTACTACTAGTTGAGGGTCTGAGTATTCTAAAGCCTATTTAAATACAACAATGCTTTTAAAATAAGATTTATTCAATATTTGAGGAAAAGCTTCGGTTTAATAAGACTCATATTTAACATCTGGCCATAAGACTGAACGTTACTGAGTCAACAGAATGTGTCTTGATGAGAAAAGACTTCTTTTTTTGTATGAAAGATCTGAAATTAAAAAAGAGCTCCATTATTAAGAAATAGTCATTAATAACACAAACTATTTCAACTCAGATTAGTACCTCAGAGAAATAGATTTTTAAAAAGCATTCAAAAATAAAAAATAAAAAAGCAATCAGCAGAGAAATAAAGTGAAACATTTCATACATATTCAAATTTCTCTATCTTTAAAAGAGCTGGTATTAAGATATTTTTCACCAAGTCACAATTTCTCCTTAAAGCCCACCAATCCTTAGTGACTTTCATCTTCTGATATTCTATAATATCTGTACAACTCAAATAGGAATCCTCTAAAAACAGCTCATAGTGCAGGTTATATTTTTTATGGATTCTATCTCCCCCATAGAGTATGAGCTCTTAGAGGGCAGGCACTATCTTTTTCAATTTTTGCGATTTTTCCTGTGATATACTAGTAATATATTTCAGTCTACATCCAGTCTAAACCACTCTTTTCTTCCTCCCAATCATGCTTTCCTCTTGTAACTCTTTCCTTATATTGTTCCCTAATCTAGAAGTAAATAGTGTTTCATATTCTAAAGCATTTGTTATTCCTATATTTCAGAAAACGTAAATCCACCTCCAAATTTAGCTTTATAGGGTTAATTTTTTTAATTACTGTATTTTCTGAAGACATCAAAATCCATTCAACATCAATTGTACACCCACAGTTTACAGAAAAAAATTATAAAACATAGGTCCATCAGTTCTAAATGCAGAACATTTTTTGTTAGCTACTATCTCAAACTAAACACTGTTTACAACTTACCGTTTTCAGTAAAGCCCTTTGCTTATACAAAAGCAGGCAAGTTATTACCAAAACAAATATTGAGACAAAAGCAAATGGTATCAAGAAAAATACTAAGGTTTCCTTCCATATGTCACCTAGGATTAAAAATCACAAAAAAGGGGGAAGGGTTAGATGTTTACAATTATTTTTGAAACTGAATTTATTTATAAATAAACCAGTAACTGGTAAAGAGCTGACCTAAAACTTGGTAACTTCTGTCATATTTGCTAGTGCATAGATACCATAGTTGTTTGCCTACAGCATTCCTTTCATTTGTGTACTTTGTATATAAAACAATTACTTTACTAAACTGTAACATCTCTTCATTTCACTTAGAAAAACAACTCCCTAAAGCTCAATTCTTATTTTCTGATATGATTTTATTTCAAATTTGACCTTGTGAAATTTCAGAATAAAATGATGAAATATTAGTTAAGTGAATAGGTCTTGTGTATCTCTTAACTCTTACTAAGTCAAAGGTTTATATTGTATCACATAATGCTATATAGTGAGCAAGAGCTGGTGACAGGTAGCAGAATACATGATCAGAAAATTTGACACTTTGGTGTGGGGATTATTTTGAGCTGAGGGCAATCGAGACCCAGCAAACTCAAGAAAAATGTTTACCTCTCCCTTAATTACATAAAAGAATTTAGATTTGGGGACCTGGTCTGAGAGAACTATTACCAGAGACAACTTTTATTTGAATGACCTATCTGTATGGCAGGGCAAACATCTAATTACAATAGTAGCCCCCCCCCCATACACACATCCTCATCCATGGTTTCACTTATGTGTGGTCAACTATACTCCAGAAGCAGATGATTCTCCTTCTGTTGTACCATCAGAAGATCAATAGTAGCCTAATGCTATGTCATAATGCCTACATCATTCACCTCACTTTATCTCATCACTTAGGCATTTTATCATCTCACATCATCACAAAAAGAAGAGTGAGTATAAGGTATTTCAAAAGACCACATTCACATAGCTTTTATCACAGTTGTTGTTATAACTGTTCTATTTGTTAGTTATTGCTATTAATTTCTTATTATGCCTACTTATAAATTAAACTTTACCATAGATGATATAGGAAAAAACAATTAACATAGGATTCAGTACTCTCCATGGTTTTAGGCAACCACTCGGAGTTTTAGAACTTATCCCCTGTAGATAAGAGGGGGGACTACTGTACCAAACATCTCTTCTTATTGTTCTGTGAATTAATCCTTCTCCCCCTTTGAAGTCCCAGGCCCCAATCCTACTCCTTAGCTCAGATGGAATATAAGCCTCAACTGCCCTACTTGCCCTTAGGTCTCATATTTCCATGGGGCCTATGGGTACCTATGGGTACCTATGGGTACCTATGGGGCCATGGGTACCTATGAAATTAATTTTGTTTAATTGTTAATCTGTCTTATGTTATTTTAATTAGTAGAGCAGCCAAAGAATCTAGAAGAGTAAAAGGAACATTTTTCCTCCACAACAGTGGTGTATTCAGCAGGATGAACTTTAACTGGCCAGTAAGAATTCTTATCATGTCAGTCTCCCGGATCTCTGCCTACAGTCTCATGAAAGCAAGAGTGGTGAGAGTCCTTTTCTTTTTCTAAATTTATTTTTTTTTAAGATTTTATTTATTTATTCATGAGAGACACACAGAGAGAAGCAGAGACATAAGCAGAGGAAGAAGCATGCTCCCTGCAGAGAACAACTGACACGGGACTCGATCCCAGGATCCTGGAATCATGACCTGAGCCAAAGGCAGATGCTCAACCACTGAGCCACTCAGGTGCCCCTCTTTTTCTAAATTTAGATTAGCAGGAGAAAATATTTATGGAACAAGTTCCTTAGGTATAGTACATCTGGTAAAGATTTGATATTAGTACTTTTGGTTTCTATTGATCCTTTTCCTCTGTTTCCCTTTGTCCCTTTCTAGAACTTGAGAGCTTGGCTTTATGGCCAGTGAGAATATTCTGCCAACCAAAGGGTGTATGTACCAGTATGCATTTGGTAGACAGCTGAACAGGCTGTGGATCTGAGCTGACTGGAGTTAGGCCTAGGTCCACCTTAAAAACCAGAACTTAGGCTAAACTAGGTCTAGAGTGAGGTTTCTTTGTTTGACTCTGGCAGCTGTCAGGGGAATTTTGTCATAAGGGGTCTCAGCCCATGAGGGCCCTTTTGTCATCTCAACCTTCATTGTCTCATTGTGATAATAAAGGTCTCTGTTTTCTTAGGCTGGATCTTGTGAGGGCTGCATCTTTTGCACTCTCCTTTGGGGTACCTTACTGGTTTGAGTCACTTTTGAGATTAATAGATCCTACTTATCAATGGCCAGACAATGGATATTTTGAATTGGACTTCTTAGATTGAAATATTTTTAGAGAGCACTCATCCTATTGACACCTGTGGAAAAACTCAATTAAAAATGGACATAAAAAATATAATGGCTAGCCTTAGGGATTCCCTTAACAAGATTAAGGAACAAAAAGTGGAAAAAACAATTAAAAGTCTACATCTAGTGTAAATTCCCCTTTTCAAAATCTGGCTCCATTTGCCTAGTTCAGCTTCTCTTTTCTTATAACATATACAGAGAATACTCTTGCCTGATCTCCAGGACCAGGGTATATGGGTTACTTGTGTAAATGCTGAAAGATAGGAAGGGATTTTAGCAGAAGCACCCAAGAAGGGTGGTGGGGGTCCCTTTGCTATTCCTTATAATTCCCCCTACTTTCCAGGGATTTTTAATCAGGCTCTACCAGCTTCAGGTCTTTCCATACAATTTCCCTTCCAGGTATATTCTGGACCCTCATTACAAAGAATTCATGTCTCATGGACAGCAGCAAATCTTTTAAATTATAAAGCCCCTTTATCTCCACTTTCAGAAGATCATACCAATTTAGAGGAGTTGGAAAGATCAGTGGTCATTCAACCTGTCACTCACAAGGACCTTATTAGATGCTAAGGGGTATTCTTCCTACCCGTAGGTATATTGAAGTAAAAGACAAATCATGGGGCGCCTAGGTGGCTTAGTCAGTTGGGTATCTGCCTTCAGCTCAGGTCATGATCTCAGGATCCTGGGATCCTGCTCCAAATCAGGCTCTCTGCTCAGTGGGGAGTCTGCCTCTCCTTCTCCTTCGGCCTCTTCCTCCACTTATGCACTTGCTCTCTCTCTTTCTCAAATAAATAAATCTTTTAAAAAAATCAAAAATAAGCGGTAAATCCTATGGCTCCCTGAGAAAACTGCCCCCCTCCAGAAGAAACAGATCAGAATTTCTCCTAGGCCCTCCTACAAATGATCAGCTGAAGGCCAATGTTCAGGGGTTGATAGAAGCAACAGGAGATGCTTCCCTCCAACCCCACAACAAAGGTGAATTGTTCCAAGTTTAAATAGTACACTCAGAAAGGCCTTTGCTTGAAAGCTTTATACAGACTTTACAAAGGCCTTATGCAAATTCTTCAACATCAACTCAAATGCCCTCACATCTGTCCTTGAAGGAGAGTTCCCGTATGGGCCCCTCCCAAAGTTCATGAGACTCTGAGGGATTTTCTGGTAAACTGCTACGTTATTCCCTTAAACAGCCAAGGGAAATGAAAACTAAAATTAATTAAAACCTTGCCTGCAAAGGGCATCCTGGGAAAACTGGCAGAAGCCAGCAAAGGGTGAGAATTCTTTACCAGAGTTAGCTCTCACAAATCTGTCCATAGTGCTCAATCAAGAGAGGAAGATGAAATTTCACATTGTCTCTTCCTTTCCAAATCCAGACCCATTGGTTATTGATCCTTTTTCTCCCGGAGATAGCTATATGCCTTCTTGCTTGTCTTGTTTTGTTTCCAAGAACCAAGCTTGGATTCCTGCCTGCTTGGGACATGCAGGTGGTTGATTCTTTCTTTTGGCTATCTTTGGGAGTGACTCTGGATCTTGGGAAGGTAATAACCTTTGCATCCTCTTTGGGGCCCCTGGGGGTTAAGTACTGCCAGAAATACTGTTTGTCCTAGATGAAAACTGACAAGATATTCTAAAGAATTTTTTAGTAGATCAGAAGTTGGTCAGAAATTGAAAGCTGATATACAGAGCCTGAAATAAATTTTTTAGGCCTCTTTCCCTAAGCTAAAATGAAATTAGGCACCCAGAAAGAAAAACCTTCTGAAGCCTTTGTAAAAGGATTTACTAAAACATTCCAAAGATCCCTGATATAAAAAAGCAGACTGAAGATAAGGTACTTGAATGGGTGGACCAACCTATGATGTCACTTAGGCTACAATCCAATTCTTTGATAAATTGAGAATAACTGTCTTTTCCTTACAAATCTTTACAAAACTAGAAATGCAGCTGTAGAGGTAGTTTAAAGTTCACTTATTCCTTCTTATCACTCTCCAAATCTCCTCTATTTCTAAAGGCTTGAAAGTATTGTAAAAATTCTGGCTTTAGGAAACCAAAGTCCTCCTTGGAGGAACATGCATTCTTTCCCTGTGCCTTTGAGATGTAATTGTTAACTTTTATCTAGGTCATCTCTTTAAAGCACAAACTTCAGGGAGAAGTAATTCTTATCAGAAGAACACAAAAAGGGTAAGGTCATTTGAAACTTAGATGAATGCTTCTCACAAATATTAATTTATATTATTGTACTTGACTCAATGGCAGTGATTTTTAAAATAGAAGCTAGAAGTTCTCTGTTTATGTCTGTATGCTTATGTGTGTTTATTTTTTTGAAGATTTATTTATTTTAAGGGGAGAGAGCCTGCACTCACAAGTGGGGGGAGGGGTAGAAGGAGAAGCAGAAGCAGACTTCCTGCTGAACGTGGAGCTCTACCAGGGTTTGATCCCAGGCCCCTGAGCTCATGACCTGCACAGGTCAGATGCTTAACTGACTGAGCCACCCAGGTGCCTCTGTTTATATGTGTTTATATATATGTATTGTATGGTATTTGTCTGCCTTTGAATAGTGCTGCCAAAATTACTTTGTAAAGAAAATTAAACATTTATATAAACTGAAGTCTCAGAAATATAATAGAAACTAACCCAAATGAATTTCAGGTTTACATGATCTGGGAAAATGTTTGGTATTAAAGCTACTTTAAATTTGTTGGTTTAATT